AACATCCCAGGTTTTCACTTGGAAAATCAAATCCCCACAGTGAGGGCTCCAGACCTGGCTTCATGCACAGCCCAGATTTCTAGTAAAAATGACCAAAAACATAACAGGAATTTCAAAAAAACAATGCTGCAGTCCCTCTCAGGAAGACTTAGAAATGCAGAAAATTTGTTTTATGCTTAAATACTCTGAGCACCTGGGATCAATTTCTACAGAAGAACGGGGAGGGGGAGGCAAGAGCAAATATCAAGGGCAGATGATCTTGTAAGGTTATTTTCTAAATCTAGCTGGGCTATCGATGGCACTTTCTCCTTTCACACCTACATGCAAGCAGGTCTTAACATATTACCATGTTGTACGATACAGATTATAAACATATTTTACAGAGAGATAGCCACAAAATTCCTTAAATTCTTTGGGCAAAAGTCCTGTAACCCAGAGGAGGGGAACACAACTACAATTCTTCTCTGCTTCAAAGGGACCTGTTCAAAGCTGACGATGCCCAAAGCAAGCCGATCCCCAGGCAGCAGAGATTACCGAGGAGCTGCCCTGACATCTCTCCTGTTTGCTTCACAAGGCCTCACACTACGTATGAATATGTATATGAAGTACTAACCTGCTCTCTCTGGACAGAAAAGAAAGTTCAAATAATTATTCATTTGTGATCACTCTCCAATTAATTTAAAGGGTATCCGGATAACCCTCAGTGTCCTATTGACTAGGATTAGTAGAGAGTACGGTGAAAAACAGGAGGAGTGAACACCTGCATAAGAATGACCTAGATGAGGTTTTAGAGGGAAAAGCCTTCCTCACAGACCTGCAGCTGGCAAAGGGAACATGGAGAAGGCTGGGGAAGGCCACAGCCTCCACTGGGGCCACCAGGAGAATTTTTCCTGAAGTCCTTCATCAGGGGAGGTTTTGAAAAAAAATAAAAATAAGTAGGAATGGTTAAATAGGATAGAACGCATTAACAAAGGTACTCCAGATATTACACCAACATATGTTAAGCTGGACCACACAGGCTAGGGTGCTTTAGCCAGGAAACAAAATGATCTAGGAGGAGCACACCAAACGGCTACAGAGCCCAGGTGCCTCGGGGAGCAGGGGCAGAGGGACCAGGGCTTCACGGCCACCAAAAAAGCTGTGCTCGAAGTGGTGCTGAGCCCCCACGCCAGCAGCAAAGCATGTAAAGCTGAGACAAAACTACTGCCCGAGACCTCATGATGGGCCTGGGAAACAGCCACTGCACGCAGGGAGGATTTTGTTGTCACTGACGGCATGGCACCAGGCGTGCTCTTAAATTAATAAGCATTTACCAAGCTAATAAGAAGTTTTTGGTAAGACAGGCATCCCCTTTCATCTTACCTTCACTCATCCTTGTTACAGCAAGAAAGAAAATAGCGATTTGCTACAGCACATGTACATCAATTGCTGGGTTTGTGCTGCCTCAAGTCCAATCATGTCATCTCCATGCAAAAGCCTTCCTTGACAAGCTGCTAATTTACCCTACACCTCACTCCTTTTATCGTCTGCTGGCATGACAGGAGATTGTTTATTTTGCAAAAGGGGCTGTTTTTCACGGAAAGTTCTTGGTCTCTTTTTCTTTTCTCCCTTTTCTGTATTTTCTTTTCCAAAATTCATGCTACGGGCAGCCAGAAAGTCTGTCTGAACTACGGCAGATTGACTCAGGGCATCAGGTAGCTTCTACCCAGCAGACCAGTGCAAGTATTTAATTAAGGCAATTTAGTCATTATAACAACTTTTTTTCTCAACTGTGAGGTGTCTGATCAATGCATTTTATTGTATAACACTTAACAAGAATGCAGATGTAACTGCAAAGGAACTAAACGACTTTTTTTCCTCAAGTACAGCCAAGCCAGGGAATATTGATACAACTGCAGAAACATTACTCTTTGAATTTTCTTCCTCTATGCATTTCTTGCTCCTATCACTCCAGATGTGGTTAGTATTATCTCAGAAATGTAAATGTCCCTTCATTTGATTTGGCTTCAGCTCTGCTATGACTAGTTAACCCGGTTCTAGGGAAAGTCTGCTCAGAGCTGAGAGATCAGGCAAAGTGCAAGCCTGTGAGTTCGTCAGCCCAAAGCACACCTTTAGCAAAAGCATCTCTGTGAAGTGACTGACATTAAATGACATTACACAGTAAAAACCCCATGGCAGACTACATGACTGTCATTTCTTTGGTTTAGATTTTTAGGGCTGCTGGATTAGGATAGCCTCCTACAGTTCACACACATCTTATGATGTATTACTGACCCCATCTTGCTGGATCAGTTTTTATCATCATCTGTCCCTCTTCCAACTTACCTTCTCTAAACAAATCAAATTCTATTCTCACAGTCCATGAGGCAGGCTATCTCTGAGGTTTACCTAACATTTTATCTCAAGATGGACAATAACTGGTGAGTCAGAAGATGACATTACAGCACAGGTAAACTGCCATCAGAAGCACCCTGTTGCCTTTCAGCCACTTACACCTTTAATGTTTGATACCAGCATCTTTGTGTGCTCACTGATGAGCTCATTTTCCATAACTTTCACTAATTATCTCATTACTCATCTCCACCTCAGTTATTCAGTTATTCTTTAGTAGTTCCACAATTTAGTTAAGCACTCTATCTGCTTTAAAAAAAAAAAAAAAATGGATCCCAAAGATATATATTTAGCAGGGAAAATATTCTCTTCTCAGAAAGAAATGTATACTACTTAGTCTATGGTCTAATATATACAAAGAAAAGAAACATTCACGATCATTTGAGCTGATGAATTCTCTTTCCAATGAACTGTGCACTTTCCAGCAGTCCCTGCTGGGCTAACAAGTAAAAACCTAATAGCATAGGTAGAAACCCCTAGGGTTGAGGTTGGTTTGCAGCAGAAATATCTTCTTCTTCCCACAGACAAAAAGCAGGAGTTGCCAGCGCCATCCTGAGAACACTTCCCAGAGCTGTGCTCCAGCCTGAACCAGGCCCCTTTGGGAAAAGACTGTGAGACATCCATCCATATTTTCAGAACAAAAATCTCTGTTAAATTCAATGCTTATCCCAGTCAGCTCCAAGAGTTGCACATACCTAACTTGATAGCCTCAATCAGTCAATGAACCATGGTGCCAACATCACACCTCTGTAATGATAATCGTGGAAAATGCATAGGGCACCGGCCTCCCCACAAACCTGTGATAACCTGTGTGAAGTCCTGAAGAGTAAAACAGAAAAGTTGGAGCTCTTTTTTGCTACTTTTTAGTGTTTGACCGGGCTTCAACATTTGAACTTATTTTTCTTCTTTATGCAGCATTTCGCCACTGCTGTTTTGTTTCTTCTAAACAAAGAACAGCCCAGTTGCAGTTTGGGAACAGGCCAGGTTACTTCAGGGCTGCTTTTGGATACTGCAAGAATATCTGTGCAACTCCTTATATGTCCTGAATCTGCCAGTTCCACGACTTGAATACAAATAAATACCACGGGGAAAAAAATAAAATAAAAAAAAAAAAAACAACAGGGGTAACAAATGCCTTCTCCAATAGCTTCTGCAGTTTTCAGAGGCTCTCTAAGAGCTTATGTAGTCCTGTGAGCATTCCAAACATGCCTGGTATTTATCATAATACGTCAGACTGGTATTTCATCCCACCCCATTTTCTGTCTATAACCTCAGAAAGGTATGAGAAAGCTCTCACAAAACTGCCACTAGAGAATATTTGCTCAGAAACATCGATCAGAACAGTTCATACCTATTTATGATAGCTGTTTTGAATCGTATCTCATGTAAAGAATATATATATACTTCGGCATGCTTGACCTTACATGTCTTCAGCTGATGTCTTATATAAATAACGTCAACACAAACTGGAACCTGCGAAATTCATGTTCTCTTCCACTGGTTCCCTCATCCAGCAGCCAGTTCCCAGAATTCAAATCTCATTATCTGTGGATATTTTATCACAGCAAGGGCCAGCAAAACAGCGCAATTAGGTCCAAAGCCTAGGAGTGCAGCATATAGAAGACAAAGGCATCTGATTTACTATTACAGCCTTACAAATGTTTTTCTCTGCAACCTTGGCAGACAAATCAAGGACTGAACCCAAGATCTCCAGCAGGGCTGTAGGAATAATTGATTTTTCAGTTCAGTAGCCAAACTGGAAAAGAAAATTGTTTACAATGACCCAAAATGTTTTTTAGCTGTTTTTCTCATTACAATGAAGCATCGGGTGAGGATGTGTTGCTTCTCCTTCCCCCAGCAGCCTGGCCCTGAGGATTTTCAGCCAATACATAGGTAGTTTGCATTGAAGTCCCTGATTCCCCTCTCTGCCCACCCCAGAAGAAGGGCTCTCACCATGATTTTATATCACATTTGGAAAGAATTTGCTCTCCCTCTCTCAGTGCTCCTATTTCCATGGTCTACTTCCCCACCCATGAGAAGAGAACCAGGTGTCCTCGCCCCAGCACACGAGACCTGTCCCAGCCACCAGGTGATTGCATTGTGCTTGGCACTCAAGTGCTTGCATCAGGTGAATCATGAACAGGAGGGCTGTCTGCCCCAGGTGAACACATGCAAATCAAATCCCCTTACACTGAACGTCTCCCAAATTAAAACCCAGATTTCTATTGTCTGGGACCAAGGTCAGCAATGGACGTCTACAGAGAAGTGTAAGAGCAGGGAAAGCACGTACTTTGTACCTGTATATCTCTAAAATACTCTCACAGACTCCAGGAACTGCCTAACACTCTTTCTTTCTTATTTAGTAGTCTCTGAAGGCTCCTTCTTCCAGTCTTAACTATGTCTGCGTGCGTCAGTTATTTGCAGAATTGCCATTAACCACCAGCTATGAGGGCAGCCTTCCTTCCCTGAACTTTGATGTAGCCACCGAAAAGAAAAGCACACCAAAATCTTTCAAAATTTGACGAAAATTTCTGATTGCTTCCAGGTAATCAATAGTGACATTTTTCAGCTTTCGGAAAACCAGACAGCATATTTAGCTCACATTGTACCTGTGCAGCTGGAGCTGCAAAAAACCCATCTCGTCGGTGGCTTGGTCCAGAAGGGAATCCTGTCTGCACTCACCAGCCAGTCCCTGGCACACGTGCGAGCATCAGCTTCCCAGGAACTATCACAAAGGCTGCCATCAGCGCAGAGCAAGGACGTTTTGCAGGCAGGCAGGCTGGTAAAAACGAGAATGAAGGTGCCATTAACGGGGGATGGCTTTTTCTTGCTGCAGTCAGATATGCTCGCATCAACAGCTGAAGCGCCTGCTCTTCGTTGGGTGTTAGTCACATTGTTTAGCTGAATATAGCGAAAGATTAGTAAAAACTACAGAATAAAATTATCTCTGTTTTGAATTAGAAATACTGAAGATGTAAGTTCTTCCTAATAATATATTTATTGAGAAATATAATTACCTAAGAAATAGAAATGTTTTGCAAAACGTTGGAATATGCTCATTCAATCATTGCCTTAAAACTAACTGGATTAGCAATCCCTAGTTTCCTTTTATAAACAAAGACATAAAATATCTTAAAAATCTTGCAGGAAATTCAAGAAAAATTATGCAATAAGGTATGAAAAAGTAAATCTCTGTTATGGTCATGGATACTTCCCAAACACATGTGCATTTTAATTAATCCCATTATTTTTTACAGGATTACTTGCTTGTTTAAACTCAAAAGAAAGCAGTTTTCTGGATGGAAACAACATTTTGAGCTTCAAAGTATGTTTTCCATAATAACCAACACTGAAAAATACAAAACATTTATTGCTGCTTGGAAAGCTTGATTTGTTTTTCTCAGATATATATTTTCACAGCAGTGTCAGCAACTGATAACATTACGTACATAGCAAGTACTATGCTATGCAGGACATGAAATAATTATTCGTTTTATTGTAGGCTTATTGAGGTAGCTACATTTGAGTTTGAAGTTAATATGACAATCACGGAAACAGTATTTTAAGCTTTTATAACTTTAATATAATAGTTCCTTCCATTTGTATATCTAAGATAATAGTAGGCTCCATATATTTAAAAAAATAAAAGTAAATAAATAAAAACCTCGCTTCTGGCACTGAATTATACTAAGAGAAGAAGAAAAAACATCAATGTGGATTCCTTAATTTTTCTTATAATGGAATTCTTATCATTTACTTTCAAAGCTTAGTTTAAACTAAGATTTATTAGTCCCTTAACATTAATTACATTAATCATATCTGAAAGCATTCACCATCCTCTAGGTTCCTGCGTTATCTTACACAGAGACATTCAGCTCCAAAGCAAAACATTGACTCCAACATGGCCATTCACTAAACCAGAGTCATCTGAAAGCCTGTATGCTTCCTCAGCTCAGTGTCATTCCAAAGGCTACTGCCCAAAGCCCCATCATTTTTGGAACGTAATAGATGAGTTCATAGGAAGTATTTCCATGTGTTATTTTACCTTGCGGGTCAGGTTTTCTAAAAACTGTTATGGTTTCTCCTCTTAGTTGGACATGCCATTGCATCTGAATATTTATCAGCACTCGAGAGTTCAAGAACAATTAATACATCCTGAAGGAATAATGGGTATTTTCTTGAGTTCTCCTCATTTTTCTTTTTTTTTCCTCGGATTTACTAGGCTCAGTGCACTCCTTAATGCTCATTGCAACTTGATTAGCAAGAATTCTTAGTCAATCAAATAATTACTTGTACTTCATAAATATGTTTTCACAGATACAGAGGTTTTAATGATTACACCATGCCACTTGATAAAAGAAGATTGTCCCAAGTAGGAAAGTGTAAGAGTTTAGGTAAATTGCATTGCAGATATTTGTGTGCTTGAAAAATTCTTCCTTTCTTTTGGTTCATCAGATGCCATAAAGACACTCAGGGCTTAGACTGAAGGCTCAGTTTTTTCTTCAATGCCATATTCACAAAAACACACATGCACAACCCCACACAGCACAGATCAGTTAACTAGACTTTAAGCTCTTGGTAGTTTGTGCATGCTGTGATATGCATGTGCTATATCTGCAATGCATAAAATTACTTCTGTGTAGGGGTTCAAATTATCAAATGAATTCATTGCATCTTCTTCCTAAAAGTAACACAAATCATGGCACAATCATTATATGTCCAGCAGAACGAATCCTTTTCCAAGTTTTTTGTTGTTGTTGTTGTTTTTTTTCCATGCTGCCTCCAAAACCTGTATATAAAAGTCTAAAAAAAAATTCTAAGAGACGACATGCTATGAAACCAAGACTGTTATTTAAAACAACTACGAGTAGGTTTTATGAATATATATATGTATATATATATACACACGTATACATGCTTGTAAAAAAGCTAACAACAAAAAAAAAGGCAAATGCTTTGCATTTATTTTTTCCTGGTAAATATGCTTCCCCACACTACAAATACTGATAACAAACTAACATCTCCTGGTGTAATGAAAGGGAAACGCGTTCAAAGCTGCAGGAAAGTGGCAGCATCATGTATCAGGAAAAACATCTAATAGCACGGGTAACAACAACTACCTGGCCTGTCATCTGTAATTAGGCGCTGTGAATCATAGTACATGTTTTTCTTTGAACTAAAGTGTGTACACTGTTTTTTCTTGTTGAACAACAACAAAAAAATCCCACCACTCGTGCGGTTTATACCTCACCAAGCAGCAGAGCTGTGTCTAGGGAGCAGACAGAGCAGGGGCATCGCTGCTGCTGGATGTGGGGCTCGTGCTCGGGTCGGAGGGAGCAGCTTTCAGGGCAATCAGGCCGCCACGTAAACTTTAAACCCCAGAAATCTCTGTGGGCTGCTCGGATCCTGTAGGGTTATTTGGTAATCCCTCAGTATTCTTCTGTTTCTGCAAAGTCACCATCACAAGGGCATGAGGAGGAAGGGTGGAGAAACGCAGCCAGACCTGACCCTGCACCCAGCCAGGTACCCCTGTGACGTGAGGTACAAATCAACATCAGGTCTGGGTGTGCAAAGAGCACCAGACCAGGCATCAGCATTGAATATTGAACTGTCAGCAGTGCAACAAGATAGCAGGAATGTCCTGGAGAAGCTGCTCACGTCCAGACATCAGCTCTGGGACACGCCACCGCCGCCAGCCTCCCGCAGCCAGCCTGGCTCCCCTGAGGAGGAGAGGAAGGCTGCCTGCAAACAGTGAGGGAAAAAATACTGCTCCTTCAGCCTGCGAGGGAATCTGCATTTCCAACAGAGATCTTTTTTCCTAGCCCTCCTTAAAGACAAAGTTTAAATTATTTGAAGATGCGCATATACCACCTCTACGGCAGCTCTATTGCAGCAACAAAAGCTGCAACTAATTTTGGGACAGCTCAAGAAAGTTGAAATGTATTTTAATGAAGAAACCAGCCTCTTCCCTTCAGGGCACTGCTTGGCAGAGACCAAAAACCCACAGATAACAGATGGTCAGCAATTTCATAATAACCTGGCAGGCCTGACACTACCTACTGGGACAGGATCTGTGGCAGAAAGATAAAAATGGCCCAGCATAATGATGGGAGAGGGCTGAACGTTCACAAGCACTTACAGAGCAACTAATTAGGTCTTACACTATCAACACACTTGAAAGTGAAGTCTGTTTGGACCCTAGGCATACAGGCAGACCTACACAAACAAATATCATTTAAGCATGTACCAGAAATTATTCAGACCTCACAGATTTGACAGCAGTAGGGACCAACAGCGTAAGCAGCATAAATAATATTCATACAAGGCTCAGTACAAAGCTAAAATAAAGCCAGACATTCCTAATAATATGGCAGATTTTTAAAGCAATGCACACAGTTTCTTTGCCTTTTAAGATAAGAAGTCAGAAACGACTGCCTGGCCATAAATGCAGAAAGCAATGGTGAGAAGAAGGAAAGGCAAGGCAGGCAAGCTGGGAAGCATACAAAACAGGAAGAAAGTAGACAAAGCAGCCAAACTGGAGTTAAAATAACGTGAGAATTGGAATGGTAATAAGTGCTATCGGTTTTGCAGAGGGCAAAATACATTTCCTTGCCCTAGCAGCTTAATTGTCTTCAGAAGCCTGCAAGCTCACCACGCACTCCCACTGCACTGAGCTGGGGCAGTGCAGCAGCAGCTGGGCTCCTCTGGGGGTCTCTGGTTATTTTTGGCTGCTCACCATGACTGCTGCATCATGCACAGCACAGATACGTTTTTTGCCCCAATCTGAGACTTTCTCACATGTTCTGCATGGTGCCGTATTTCTCATCTTAAGCCCTTGGTAATCCTAGCTTTTGAGAGTTGTTGTTTAAATTTTGCCATGGGGTACAGCACAGACCTCGTGTGTTAACATCTCAGCCAGAGCCAGGAAAGGTAGGGGCAGCTCTCACCCTGGCGTGCTCAGTGCCTGGGCAGGTGCAGTTATCAAGAAGCTTTTAGCTAACAGTTAAGACATTTCAAGACCAGCCTCCTCTCAGTCAATACTCATTGCCCCATCTGGCTTTCCTGGGCTGCTGTGGGGTGCCAGCCCCCACCACAGATGTCCCGAGCAGCTGGGTGCTGTATCAGACCCTTGGCCACAGCCCCCGGCTCCCATGGAGGTGCTGCCACTGGTGTGGGAGCGAGTACGGGAGAGCTGGGAAACAGGCAATATCGGCAGACATGAATTAAATAACTGCGTGATGCAGTTTGAGAGTCCAAAACCACTCTCTGCAAAGTGGTGCTTAAATCACAGCCCTGCATCCTAGCAGCCGGGCTCGCCTCTGCTGGGGAGCTGCCTCTCCTCCTCTGTAATATAACAGACTAATGGCGAGAGCAGTTGCACAGAAGAGGGATGATAAAATAAAGCTGAGCCAACACTGAAGGAGAAATGTAATATTTATGAGACTACAGAGAGAGAAGATGGGAGCCTGGCTCCATACCAAGTTAGCACAGGATGCAGGGGTGGGGATGCCGGGGTGCTCCCCTCGAGGAGGGGCAGGAGGCTGAGAGCCACAGCCTGAGGACAGGACTGCGCCCACCTCTCCTGTCTGCACAGCAAGCACTGGGCTGATGCAGAATAACATCACATGCACACATATTTGTATATTTTATACACATATCTAAATCACATATGGCTATAATTCAGGGAAAAAATGTAAAAATTTATTAATAAAATTCTATTATATATAGACACCTATTAAAATTACATACTGCTTGGAATGAAGTGGCTGATCGTTGTGCTGCTGGTGTATGGTGAATCCAGCACACCAGGCATCGGGGCCCAGCCCCAGATATGGAAACTTCCCAAATCCTTTCCCTCGATGCCTGACGAAGGACTCGCTCCAGCACGCAGCAGGAGCCCTGGGCACAGCTGGCAGCAGGCACAAAACCCTCAGGAACCGAGAAAAGGCACAGCAACCACGAGCCTCCAGCTCGGCACGTGCAGGAAGAACAAATGGCACATGCATGGCTCTGGCTGCTCCCTCCCACTTCCAAAGCATGTTGTTGTAGCATTTAAGTGCTCAGAGCTCCTCTTCTTGGCATTTTCTTTTTCTTCTCCAGAAAATCATTGCTTCTCAGAGCCTGCAAAAGAAAACAAGGCTAAACAGAAACTCAGAGTTTTCTCCTCCCATGGCCAATTAAAAAATAGTTGGAAAACAAAGTTTCAGTCCTACTGGACCTCCGCGTTGGAGGGTTCGTTTCCTCAGCTGCAAGGTTGGGCCTCAGAAATGGCTCACGAATCCCAAACTCCTACATTCAGCTTCACTTAGCCCTAAAAACAATTGCTCCTCTCCATTTTCTGTTCTTCGCCCAGGGCTCCTAAAACATCGTGTGGGGATTTGGGAGCCCCATTTGAAACAAATTGTTTTAATTAAAATAGTAATTTTCAGCCCCAAGAGATGTAAACTATTAAAGAGTTGCCAGGAGGGAGATACACTAATGGAGAGCAATGAGCAATTATAGGCAATCTGCTGCAGGTTCTCGGAGAAAAACACAGGGAAGCAGCGCAGCCACTTGCTGCCTGCCTATTTATCACTGCCGCCAGCATTTAACAGCATACAGGTTTTCCTTCAATAAAGGCTCAGCAAGTGCACTTCATTTTCTTATGTGTCATCAAGTCATTTTGATATAAGAGGGGAGATCAGCAAGGGAAATGGAAGGAACAAATCTCCTCTCTCTTAAATAGCTCTTCAGCACCTGAAACGATCGGTGTGCAGGGACGGCGGGAGGCAGATATGGCTGGGTTTGGTCATGGTGGTGAGCCCTCGGTCTCAGACAACCCCGTTGTCTCCCAGAAAGTCCGGGACAGACTTTTCTAGAAAGTCTGTGGCCACCCAAAAATTTGGCGGTTCAGGGCTCTGGTCACAGGGAGGGCCTGGGCCTGTGGCTGCCCTCTGAGGGTGGCGGAGACACTATAGGTGGGTACATGCATGCATATACGCCCTGACCCACTTTAAAATTCCAGAATTTTATAGATTTACCATACTCAGATAAGGTGAAGAAAAGCATCTTACTCTAGAAGCCAGGAAATCAAATTTCCACTTTTAAATGTCTTAATCTCTCCTGAAATAATCCAGGACAACCTATAGTGGGAATCAGAGTAAAAATAAGTGAAAAGTAATTTTTGATATGTGGATTTGTAGTGTAGGAAACAACTTGGTTTAATAGCAAAAAAAGAAAGCGTATTAGCAAGCTTCCTGAAAACAGTTTTTCAAAAGAAAAACTCCATCTTTTTTTACTGAAAATAACATGTTTTTCTACTCAGGAACCACAGAGCATCTGCCTCCGCCACCCACAGACACCACAGAGGAACATGTTACTCCGAGGAATATTTATTCATGTCAGCGCGGTGACCTACTAGAGATAACATCAAGATGAAAAGTATTATTCTTTTTTATAATTCGCTTCTCGCTTGATTCATACCTCATTAAATCAAGAGGAACGTTAACCATACATTGGAATGTGTTGCATGAGTCCCTTTATTTTATTTTATTTTTCCAAAATGCAGGCATTGTTTATTAACAATGTGTCATTTGATTCTCTTAAGTAAATAAACACCAGCAGATGACACCGTATTCACCCGTGGCTATATTATAATAATTAAATAATATTAAGTAGAAATATGAAAGATAGAATTGCTGAAGAAATCGAGACTCTAAAAGAGTTCCAGTGAAGGATGTTCAAACAGACATTCCAGAAGGGCAAATAGATAAATTAAATTTTCCCTTAGCAACCTCTGTGACAACTGGAGAATACTAAATGCAGAGCATAAGGGACGTGTTGCAGCTAAATGTTTTGCCTTATTTTTAATTTAAATGTAGTTATATAGATGAAGAGCCTGGAGGCATCAACCACTGCCAATCAAAGCTTACATAATGAGTAAGTCTTACAAATATAGTGAAATCACTACTGCCCAGAATTGCTTAAGTCATCTGAGGATGAATTTTTTCACTGTAAACATATACAAAGTCTTGTCTTTTTCTTTTTTCTTACCCCCCCGCCCTTTTTTTGTGTGTGTGGGGGGTACATGTATTTTCAAAAAACATGATATCTCTTTGGCAAAAAAAAAAAAATCCTTTGAAGCAGTCCAAATATCTTTTGAAGTTATAACAGAGGAGTAATTTTGTATTCATAGACTCATTTTACCTCCCCTTTCCTAAAAAAAAAAAAAAAAAAGACATATAGCTTAGTGAAAAATTTATATAATGAAATAGGCTGACTCATCTCATGACATCAGAAGCATTCAAGCAAACAAAATTCCTCTAAAGAGAAAGTGTACGTATCTTTTTGTGTAATTCAAAGACACTGTGAACTGAAATACTGGAAAATCAACTTTAATTAGTTCAGATTAAGTGCTACAATCTGTAAATTAGAATACCGCAATGTACATAATAATGTGCATGATGCATTAATGGCCTGGTAAATAAATGATTGCTTTAAAGAGCTATCCTCACTTAGCAACCTAATAGATTTATTAAAACTACGTTCACGTTTCTTTGCAAAGTCACAAAGGCTATTAAAAACTCATGGAAGTGCCATACAATGCATTAGTAGCACAATTTTAAAACTCTTCTTTGCCTCTCTCCATTCCTATAAATACATTTCTCTCCTTGACAATCCTTCCTAAGGGTCAGAGATTTTCCCATGTACATCCTTCCAGAGCCCCAGAAAAACAAGAATGGCTGATCTTACTTGAAAACTAAAAGCTTTGAGGTAGTTCTCCACGGAACAATGAAAAATCCCACAGGTTCAAGAAAACAATTGGTAAATACAAGCTTCTTCTGCCATAAAATACAATTTGTTAAATACAAATGTTCGCTAATGGAAAATGTTTTACTGCTACGCATACAGGGCGGCTTGAACAGTAATACAAAGTCAATAACAAAGCAATAAAAGCAGCAACACACACACATAGTGGGGCAGGTATAAATAAAAGGCATGTTTTGCTATTTTTGTATGGAAGAATTGCATCATTTCTCTTTATCCATCTACAGTGCAGAAAGTTACATTTGTACTCAAACTCTACTTGACTCCGGCAAGTATCTCTTCTTATTCAATGATCTACCATTTTCTTCTACTCAAAAATCCCTGCAATAGACCAGCTAAAAATTTTTACCTGAGCTGTCTATTGGAAAAACGGTGACAGGATATATATTTTTTTAATGATTCCTCATTACTTTCATGACTTTTTATGTACACTTGATGTTTGGGAAGAAGGAGATAGTGATAGTCCTCCTGAAAAAAAAAAAAAGAAAAAATGCAAATATATCAGGTAACAGAAATGCTCATAAATCTGAATTTATATTGGAGGCAAAAGTAAACTCACAAAGATGATTTATTGCCTCTTACAATGAATGTGACTATTAGGTGCTTAGATTTTATTAACACAGGGAAAGAACATATTTTATGTTCAAATATTTAAGTACTCATAGAAAGTAAATGCAGAAATATTGTAAGTATTAAGCATTCAATTACTTCAAGCTATGTAAAAAAAAAAATAATTTAAAAATACTTTTCTGCCTGTACAAAAATATATTGCCAAAAGAAATTTCTGCTTTATTGGCAAATCCAGTAAGTTTGTTGGCTTTATTCAGTCTAACTGATGACATGTATGTGCATTTCTCACAGCCTCGGATGGGACAGAAGTTGAGATTTGAAGCACTGACCACAGGAGAGCTTCAGATATTAATAATGAGTGACTTAAACAGAAGTGCAGAATATCAAAATACCCACTCCAAGCAATGGTTTTCTCCAAGACATAAGCAGTTCTTGCCTACCTGCATGCTAACCAACGCTCCTCACCAGCAAAGACTCCATTCCCCACAGCAGCTTTTCATTAAAATATATTTCTGACACCTTGCAACAGCCCGTTTGGGAACGGGCTTTAGAACAGCCACACAATTTTGTGGCAAAACTGTAATTTCTGCATTGCCCATGTAACAGCCAACCAGAATCCAGAGTACCAGGTCATTCCGCAAAGAGGAGGAGGAAGATACAGAAAAGTAAGAGATCACCCGTGCCTTCCCCAAAATGAGTAGAAATGGCAGCTTAGACTTGACAGCTTGTACTAACACTGAAGATGAGAAATAAAGATTTGTTATGCTCACTAAGTCACTGCCATCAAAGGTTCGTTCCTTCCTAATGGATGCCAGGATGGCAGTGGAAGAGGAAAGTCAGTTTTAGACAACGTGAGCTGCTTCAGCGAGTGTGTTAAAAATGAAATGAATAAAAATAGTCATAACATGCAAGCTCAGGCACTGCTCTGCAGAATGAGGTAGGAAATCCTACAAATGTACTCATTTAACATCGCCCAGTTTTCAGGCTGCCACAACTGTCAGGACAGGAAGAGTTTTCTTATTTTACCTGTAGAGATCTGGCGCTGTAAAATTATTTTCATTTTAGCTCAATCCAAAAATAATGTTAACAACAATAAAAATTCAGCTCCTCAACCTGTATTGATTTGCGAGATTATTGGGAGAGTAGTCTTGTTGTTTTTATGTTATTTGAATTGATCACTGGCTGCCTACTTAACTTAAATATCCAGCTACAATGCTACTTTATTTTTCAGAACTTCAATAACAAAAATGCTTTCATTTTGCAAATTATAGTCCTAAAACTGATAGTGCTATTTCAGACATGGTCATCTCTTGCTTAAATCAAGTCAAGTACATACCTTAAGGGCAAAGCAGCATTTCTCATGTGACCCTCAAAATCAGAATAATTCTCATTTAAATGGGAACATTGATCTCCTTTTATTTCAAAGATGTGTATGCCTGCACGTGACACAGTACAAGGCTATGACTTGGATTTTTTGTAAACCCTCCCCCCATACTGTAAAGACTCCAGAGGAAGGCCACCAAGATCATCAAGGGACTGGAGCACCTTTCCTATGAGGAGAGGCTGAGAGAGCTGGGGATAAACCCCCCTGAGCCTCTTCTTCTCCAGGCTGAGCAGCCCTGGCTCTCTCAGAGCATACATACAACCATTACATTTAATTATTTCTGCATCTCATAGCCCTGCTAACAGACTTCTAGCCATGGGCTCAAGAGGAAAACATTTTTAATTGCGCATGTTTAGCCCAACCATGAGATAAACTATTGTAAAACTTGAAATAAAGCTTGAAATTATCAGGGACACTGCTGCTCGGTAATGAAAGCAGCTATGGAAATCCCCCCATTTCCCCCTCCCCTTATTTAAGTTTTGAAATATGACCTCAGAAACCCAAAATGGACTCAAGAATGTGGAAGATTTGAACAAGGTCGCTGTCAGGTCTGCACCAAGAGGCTCACTTGCCCAGTAATGAGCCAACCCAAACCATCAGTGGACAACATCACTTTGTCAGGCTCACGCAACAGATCAAAACTACTCAGATCAGACGTGAGAAGCATAGGAAAAATGGTACAACAGGTCTAATCCCCTTCCCATTACATTTCACAATGAATGGGGCATGCAACAGGCTGCCAGGCACCGTGCTGGCTGCTCACAAGCGTGGTGCTCTGCTGGAGGTGCTGCCTGGGTCTGGGCTTGTAGTTCAGAAATACGAACCTTAGGTTTTATGCTCACCTTCTTATTAAATGACAAAGGACACTTAACTCAGATTAATGCATGTTTATACATTTTAATTGTAGATTAAGGTGTTTCGTGGATACATAAGAAGCATCAGAAGCATATTAACTTATGTTAGTTTTAACAACAAAAAAAAAGCTACTGCAGATTTGCAATTATTCTGCAATTAGATGGAAATTACTTTCCATGCTAATTGCTCTGACAGGTGCCTAATAGCTTCTCTAAATAGGGGTTGAAAATTTACCCATGGGTATTCTCAATTACTTTGCTTGACCACCTTTTACCTCTCCTTAAAGCAATGAAAATATTCAGCACCAACCAGAAGTTTCTGTTGTGCTGGGTCCTTCTCCCCCACAAACAGCTGTGCTCCTTCCCCTACACCCACGTCTCCCATCCCTGCACCCCTCACCAGGGGAAGCCTTCCTGCCTCTGGTAGTGCTAAAAGCTTCCTAAAAGTCCCTAAAGGTTTTTCCAGGTTTGTTCCTGAAGGAACAATGGTGAAAAAAAATCAGTAGATGATATTTTTTTAAAGCAAAGAGGAGCCTTCACCACGGCTGGCACATGCTGCAGCCCTTCCTGCAATTGCACAAGCATCGGTAATGCTTAATGAAACGTCCCACACATACCCCAGATACAAATGATCTCAGTCCAAGTACAGATAAACAAATAACAACCTATTCCTGCATGTTATTTATCTCCATTACTTCAAAGACTCTCCTTAATAGACAACCCCACAGTGAGAGGAAGGAATACTCTTGTATTTCTGAGGGGTCCTAGCCACTAATTTAAAAGACTGGTGGAGCTAATTGGCTGTAGAAATGATGATAAATCTGACACCGGTGGGAAAAGTTGCCAACACAGCTGATGTGTGTATGAAATGTGATTTCACCCCTTGACAGGTATCACCATGGGTATGTCCGGGCCAGGACAGACCCGTTCCCCATCCTTCCTGCCAGAGCCACACGCTGCCTGCTCTGGGGGCTGGGGCTTGGGCAGGCCTCAGGATGGACTGCAAGGCTGAGACTTCGGACTACAGCAACAGCTTTTTTCCTTGCTGAAGGCAGAGTGCAATCAAAGGGGACAAAACGTGCGTGGTTTCCATGCCATCAGAGGGGGAGAACAGAAAGAAGTTGTAAATTTGTGACAAACGTTACAGGAGAGGCACCAGCTAGCTATGGAGCCAAAGTTTCTCATCACTGCTCTTCAGTGAAAACCTTCCAATATTTGTTAAATTATTTTTTTTTCCTGAGGACTTTACCACTACAGCCCTCTTCAAATTGAAATTTCATTTATATACTGTAATATAACCCCCATATGTTTACCATAGCCTCATTGGGAAAATGTTTTCCCAACTTGTTTGCAAACACTATAACACTGAAAAACAAATGCCAACTCTTGCATTCAAATGAGAGCATTGCCTGTAAAATTGTGACCTTTGTTTTATATATAGACATTCACAGCTGTTAACCAAGATTATCTATACATCCCAAGGTGTATTTCATCTGAAATGCAAAGTTTTTCTTTATCGCACATATGGTTGGCTGGGAATGAGTTTGTTTCCCTGTGACTGAAAGCGATTTGCTTGACTTTCAGACATTTAAAGGTGATTTACGATCTCTGCATTCACATCATGGATAGATAAACAGAAGTACGATAACGTGTGTGACCATTATCCTCAGCATCTGTTTTATCCTAAAAACAATTCTATATAAAATAAATTATATCTTAATTATTAGGACTGCCCTCACTTTATTTTTCTGTGGTGTTTACTTTCAATCTTTTGTATCTGGCTCTACAGATGCATCAGTTGGTCACTTCAGAAGACACACTGGAACAAGTCCTCTGCATTACACATCACATTATTTTACATTAACCACTGTTCTCTTACAGCAAGTGTTGATTTTATGGATAATTTGACCTGTGAAATTCAACACAGTGCACATCTCCACTGCAATTAGGCAGGCGATAGTAGCTCGGTAGCACGCAGGCACTAATTTTAATGTAGCCATCTACTGTAGGAAGAGCAGGGAAGGTACAGCCACAGCCTTCTGCGTGTGTTGTGTGCTGAATTCTCTGCCATCGAGACCTCATCCCAAGAGGGAGCTTGCCCTGAGCAGCCCAGGCACCCGGTTGCACTCATGCACCGCACGCAGCCGGCCAGGAGCAGGACAGGATAAATCATGCACCCACACCTCTCTGACCCAGTTCCTTAAGCAGGGCACTATTCAGCACAGCAGGTAGAAGGACAGCCACTCTTTCACTGCAGAACAGTCACTGTACAGCAAGAATACTTGTAAAAAAATAACTGACCTCAGCTTATTAACTTCTGGGGGGTGTTGGGTCAAGGGGATGTGGAAGGGTAGCAGAAAAATGTCCTTGAATCTGTGACCCTGCCTGACTTCCTTGAAGCACATCTCGTGTTTGAAGTAATTCAGACTTGCTTCAGCACTTCTATAATTATACTATCATTAATTATAGTGTTTTAAGAAAGCACTCAAGTGACATTTCTGGTGACACAAAATGTTTTTCTTTCCAGAACATACACACAGCAGGCAAAGAACAGTACCAGTATTCCACTAATTTGTGCAACTAAAGGTGTCAGAAAAGAAAACCATACCACGTCCTTTATTTTAAACATCCCTGAAATAAACAACTTTGTCCACCTCCGGTGTTTTGTTATTTGGAGAACTGCCTTGCTTTGCTGTTCTGTCTGGATGTATTCTTACTAGTTGGTCTTAACACTATGCAAATGTAACTGCACTACAGCTGCACAACTCAGTGCAATTGCACTGAGTTCAGAGCATTTTGTTTCCAATTTCCTCCTCACAGCCTTGTTTATGCTTTGGGTATTGGTATTCAGAAGTTGAGCAGTCTTGCCAAGCTTACTCCAGGGACTTCTAATGGCTCTGAAGCCTGCTCTTTGTTCCTACCACATTAATAGACGAGCTCTGCAAAGCAGTCGTTTATAGCTCGTCTTTGCCTCAACATTAACTAAAGATGCAGCTCAAAATTTAGCTTCCAGCCCAGCTCTCCTATACACCAAAGTAGGTTATAGCTATTTAAAAAGCAGCTAACATGAACACTCTTGAAAACACGGCACAGCCCAACCCCAGATATTATCCCACCGCCCCTGGTGGGTTGTACAGATGACGCTACTTTGCACAGCGCTGCTACTGGAGCCTGCCTGGCAGAATTCAGCGTGTGCCTAAGGGACTGCAGTGCACATGCCATAAGCTTGCAAAGAGAAAATGAAGCACAAGAGCTGTTGGCTCTTGTGGTAGTGAAGTGATGGCAATGCAGCAGATGGGAGCTCTCACCACCCTGAGATGCTCGACACTGCTGGGCAGGGACGTGGCACGTCAGAGCTGGCTTCGCTCCTGCTGGGCAAGCTTGAAGAGTATTTTACTGCAACAACGAGCCTGTGTTGGGCAACAACTGAAGTCTCCTTTTTAAAGTTCGTTGTAGTCTCATTTGTTCAGATATTTTGTCTGGACTCCAACGTCCATGACTGCTAACAGCGTTTCCTACTGCCTCTGTGGATGCTCAAGGAATTTATCAAGTCCAGGGAAGCATCCAATTTCCAGATGAATCAAGTCTCCCTCCTCTCTCTTTCCTTTCCCTCCTGCTTTACAGTGTGGTTAATTGCTAAAGCTACCTGCCGATTTCCCAGGTTGCAAGTCAGCTTCAAAAGCTTCCAAAGACTTATTTTACTACTTCATCCATCATTTTGCATTTGTATCAGCAGTTCCACCTACATTTAAGCTGGTTTTCTCATGTTCTCTTTTAAAGTTGCTTTCAACAAGTGCAGCACTTCTATCACCATCTACTGAGCAGACAAATTGATGCAAGCATCCTTTGATTCACTAAGCAGCGCTGGAAGATCAAGAGCACAAAAGTTATCAGAAGAGGGAGGGGAGGAAGGAGAGAGCTGCGTCCTAGATTGTGCCATTCTTCATCTGAAAAAGTTAGCAGCAGCTGGAAATTCAACCTCTCGTGCACACCAAACCATTCATTCACTGTTTTGAAATGGAACAATATATGTCAAAAAAGGGAGAACCATAGCAATGAGATCTGCTTGAAATGTTCATTATTTTTGAAGAGTAATTTTGATGTTTTTCCATATGCCTCCCATATACAATAGTGTATTATTAATTAAAGCAAACAGTGTATTAAAAGTAAGAAGCACCATATGCACACATATTTCAATGCACACAAGAAATATCTGCTATATGAGAAAAAGCTCTGAAAGCTCTCATTTCATTTAGGCTTTGAATCTGAGAAAACCAAATGACTCTTCAGGCGTCAACCAGCATTTTGCTTTTAGTCTCTCTTGCATGTATTTTGATACAGAGAAAAAAAAAAAGAAATTAGATTTGATTTGTAGCTTAACTGAGAGAGTAACCTAGTAAAAAGAAAATGAGATTATAGAAGTTCCTTGTTTGTTGTTTTGTTTTCAATGACATGGCAATGAGCTATCAGAAAAAGCAAGAATAGAAATTCTGCAGTTTGTGTTTTGTTTTTTTTTCATGTGGGGCTTCATTGCTGTACCTGTAATGCTACTGTACCTGATTCCCTGTTAAAATAAGAATAACTACTGGACACGATGCATTTGGAACTGGAGGAGGCTGAAGGTGTAACACTCAGCAGCTGTGGCCTATATGTACACACGGTCTGCCCAGCTTTGTCACCTGAGCAGCTTAAAAATCTGTGAAGTATTTACTAGCCTATGGCTGTGTCTGACATTTTGTAGAAATCACACACATTTATCAGGCAAGGATCTCCTTCTGATTGTCATATGTTCCTTCTCTCAGAAGATTAACATGCTTTTGTGAAGCTGGAAGCTTGTTATGAAAGACGAAGATACTTAACCTTCACTTGAACACAAACTGTCAAGCCAGTTTCCATGTCATTAAAAAAATAAAAAAATAAAAAAATTGCACTCCCTAAAATTTAATACTCTCATCATAGCACTCATGTTTTCTAAAAAAAATAATATTGATCAAGACCCACACAATGAATTCCTGCATGACAGCATGATATTCTGATATCATACATGGCAGAGAGCATCACTCCAACAATTCCTACAGTCCCAGCATAGAGCCCAACGCATCTCAAGTGGTTTGTGTATGCATATGGGCTATATAAAATTATATGAAATAGACTATATTAGATCATAAGGATTATGACTGATAACCAACTTCAAAATAAGCCATCTATGACAGAGTATAGAAGTATTGACATGTACAGCAAATATCATCATTAAAAGGTGTTGAAAGATAACTGCCTGTTTCTGTGCTTACAAAGAAATAAAGGTGAGAAAGAAGACTTCAGAAGTAGGAAAATCAGTTGTAACTCAAACTTATAGAAAGACAAAGCTTTAAATTGGATTTTGACAATGGTTAGGGATGAAGAACTGTCTTCAGTTCTCAGTCAAAATGGAAACTCTAGGATGCTCATAATCAGATTCAAAAAAAAAAAATCTAAACTTTCTGTGTAAATTTAACAGAAATAAGAATTACTTTGAAAAATAAACTCATGTCAGATGCAAATTAAACCAAAAACTTTCATGAGAAAATTAGAGGAGTTGAGGAACTAGCTGTGATGCATTCAAACTTCTCATTTTGGTTAAGAAGAACAGTCCTGTAGGAGTCTCAGAGTAAATAACACAGTGAAGTATCATTACAGTAAAGCTAATTTAATGCTACAGTTCAGTATATCCAGTCTGACTATTGTAAATCTTCTTTTGTACTTCCTAATAGCTACTTAACTGAAAACAAGCAAAAAGGTGTTACTATCACATGTTCCAATAGCACCTAGAAACCTGTGGCACTGCAGGAACTTTTACTCAAACGTGACAAAAAGTTTCAGCATTGAAGAAGGAAAGATTTTCGTCAATTCCACCACAGCCATTAAAAATACAATATTTTTGCTTCTCCCGATAAATACATATTAAAGCACTCCTGATCTAGAAAAAATATCTTCTTAAAAATACATGGAATTACTTACACCTGCCTTTGGTTATTCAGGCACAACTGATAATTTTAGGGAAGAGGTTCTGTGACAGAGGCCAAACTATTACACAATCACATAAATAGAATATAGATTTTATTGAAATGGTGTCTAAAAGCAGTTTCTGTGTAAGTACTGATAGACCTGAGGTTTTTCTAGAACATTATCTTTTCTTTGAAAGTAGCCTTTAGCCAACATGCATCACCATAAGAAGAAACGTGCAGGGTTATTTTCCCTGGGTGGCTTTCCCAGTTTTGCAGAGACGTGCTTACCTCCTTCCTGAAGCCGTTTGTGCTTTTTGCATTGTACCACGGTTACAATTCCCCCAGGTTAAGTATGAACCCCATGATAAAGTACAGCCTTCTGTAGGTCAGCCTTCCCCTCTTGCCTGCTTTGCTGGGCACCTCTTTATCCTGCTGTTGTGGAAGTGAGTGCCCTCTGTCGCCCCCACCCTTCTATCCTACCTCTTTGTCAAATTACACAGCTTTATGCACAAAATACCTGGTGTGTTCCATGCCAAATCAAGCATTAGCACAGCACATTACTCCTCCATACACAACAGCAGGAGTGAGAGAAGTGTTTATATTTTCCAGAGCTCGCAAGCAATCCATTACCTGATTTTTTCCCTGTACAATTTGTCAAGTCTCTCAAATTAAGTTTTACATAAGGCTTTCAATTTTTGTACAGCAGACCAAACAGCTTGCCTGAAACATGGCTTTAATTAAAGTACTCCAGCATCTCATCTCTGCACATGCGAGGGTTCTTTCAGCAAAATATATAGTAGGGACTGGCCACGAGATCTGAGATAACGGTGACCTGCTGAAGGAAAAGAGTTACACAACCACCAGCAAGGAATAAAAAAGAAATGTAAAGCCAAGATACAAACATCAAAACTGAAATACTTCTTCTCATGGGTTCATCTCTTAACCAACAAATTAATGAAACAGCCTATTACAAGCATGGCACTTTGCATACAGTAACTGCCTTTCCGACTGCTGGAAGATGGAACAACTTGGACCGTGACAGCAAATAAAGAGAGGATGACGCAGAACTGGCCCACTCCTGAGCAAGTCTCTGGACATCTACTTCAGGTACAGAAAGCCCCCGATGTCAAAAAATAAAATAAAATATCCAATAACTTCAACAGATCATACATAGACGTGCTCAGTGATAAGAGAGCTGTCAGTACAATTTTTTGGAAGCATTCTTTGTACAGACTAGTTAATAAGCACCTCAAACTATTAAAAATGATTAAGAAAAGCTCCACAGCAACCTTAGAGCAGATCTGAGCGCTGCACCAGTCTCCCACCAGATGGGACGTGCTTTGGAGGCATCTAGCTCAGGCTGGAAAAAGGCTCTTTAGCAGCCAATCTGCATTTAAAGCAGTTCACATGTGTGCAACTCATGCAGAAAGTCAGGTGAAGCTATGTAACTAATTTCATCTGAGAAAGAAACAAAGGTATTCAATCAGAACCTCAGAATGTCATTTAGGTTTAAAACAAATACTCTAAATATCCAAACTTAAATTATCTGCAAGTAAAATGACATTTATCTCGGTTACAAAGAAGAGTTTTTTCCCATTAAAAGTAAGAACACAACATGAGTTTTGGTGAGAGAAAGTCCTTTGGCAACTGAGTGACAGGGCCAGAACAGAAAAACAGAGTGGCCAATTCTTCACCTTCCATCACTGAAAGCAGCAAAGGGTCTGGCCAGTCTTCAAGTCTTAAAAAACAACCATTTAAAAGATTTATCTGAGCAGTGCACTATAATTCAAAGCTGGAGAGTGTTAAGGGAAAGGCTATGAAAACATATTGAGGGATTAGAAAGTAGGACCACAGAGAAAGATCTGCAGAGGTCAGTCTGTTTAGTTTATCAAAGAGAAGGTGAAAGGGGAACTTTGATCAAAGTTTAAGAACCCAAAAGGATAATGAAAATCTGCTATAGCAAGCACTTCAATCTGGAGATGACTATATATCAATTTCCAGGGGCTACAAGTGGAAAAATGCCAGAATCACACAGGAAAAGAGAAGCTCTTGATCTAATGGTGTGGATAATTAATGACTGAAGAATATTACTGAAGGTTCTCACAGATGCTCTATTGCTGGAAGTCTTTAACTCAAGACTGAGTGTTTCTCTACAAGGCATATCCCAGTTCAACGTGAGTTTTTGGACCTGAGTTATGTCAGAGAAATCCCACAGCCTAGGCTGTACACTGCTCAGACCAGATGAACCCAGATGCAAAATGTGATGGATCCCAAAACAAGACAAAAAGACAACTTTACGTTAACGTTTTTTTTCATGGACTTAGTACAGAGAAACACTCCAGTTACACAGTATTTCAATTAAAAAGTTATGGTTGACTGTGCCGAGCATGCGAACTCCCTTGCCACTCCCACGTGAGCCATATTACTCCCCTCTGAATAGACCCAGCCTTGCTGATAGAAGCATCTGGTGAGAAATTCACGTGGCTCAGAAGCCATCTCTGCTGTTTCCAGAGGGTCGGGGACCAGATCTGGTCCAACCCAAACAACAGAGATAATTACCCAGTTCGGAGACACGCGGGTTGCCAAAGCGCGCTCCTCTCCCAAGCAGAGGCTCTACCACCTGCTTCCTCGCCTTCTCCACCCCCAAAAACCACCTCTGCTGCACCAACGGGCTCGGCTGGCTGAGATGTGCTATGGTTTACTGAGCAACGCTCCCAGCGGTGGCTGCACAATTGGCCATCACCAGCTCCATTCAACTCAAATTGCATTGCGCTTAATTGATTCATTAAGGTAATCACTACTGTCATATCGTGTGCTCATTACAAACAACAACAAATTATTCAGAATGTTTTCCCTTCTGAGCAACTGTATCAAATATATTAATCAAAAGTTGGTTGGCTGTTTCAGTCGCTCATTATCCACATGCCATTTATATAATAAAAAGCAAATGAACAAAACAACTTGCCATCAGTCGGCTATTTCATTTTTCCCTAATGAGCTCTAAAATTTGTAAATTAAACAAGCAGTGGTGCTCCTGATTTATATGAGAAGGGTTTTGACCAAAATATATATTTCATCCATGGGCAAATCTGTTTTATATCCAACAGTTTGTCAGTTTTAAAAAACCCTGCCAAAGGCTATTATTGATGGCAGAAGGCAAAACTGGTATGGCAAAGCCAAAATTTTCACATTAGACACAAGAAAAAAAAACAACATTTGTGACTCATTCTGACCATAACAAAACTGAGTGAAAAATGACCATACATGAACTCAATCTAAAATCAAAACACACCCCTTGCCCAGAGAAGCACTTCATGCACCGCACCCTACCGGGTAGGTTTCAAATTAGCCCATAAATGAGTTATTTATTTATTTATCTGTGCTGTATCCTGAATCTGGTATCCTCTGTTGGCACAGGGGATGATTAAGATCTACAGACTACATAACAAAGCAATGAAGCGGTGCCATAGCAGTTTAAATCAGAGCAGATGTGTGTAATTCCCATTATGTCTGCTCCGTGTTCCTGGCAGCTGATGTGCCACCATCCAGGTCTCCAATTGCGCGTCAGCCTCCTCGCTTAAACCCACACAGGAGATTCAGCCAGATACCCACAGAAACGCCTTCGCTGACAGTGATTCCCTGCATTCTGAAGATTAGCAAATTAAAAGAAACGTGTGAGTGACTGTTCCCTCTAAAGAAGCAGCATTAATTCTTCGCAGAATTAAGTCGATGCATTATTTATTTCTTGCCACAGAACTGCTTGTGTTTTCTCAGAATGGGATTCAGGGCAAGGATGCTCCTAAAAGCCCATCAGGATACCATAATTTGCTGCAGGTGTTTGCTGTTTTACACAGCTCGTTTTACACCACCTTTAGATTAGGCAGAGCAAGTTACCTTCGGTGCTAAAGGTGCCGTGCTTCAGTTCCTCGGGAAGGACCGGAATGCAAATTTCCAATTATCTTTGGCCTTGCAGACGAGAGAACCAGCTGTGTTAACAAGCAAAGAACATTGTATCACCTTGGGTAGACCAGCGTACCTGGTTCTCGGAGTTTCTGAGGCTCTCCTGAAGCCTCCTTTTACTCCCAGGGAGTGAAGGAGTAAATCTCCAGCAGCCTCCTGCTGCCGGCGTGCCTGGCTGGCCTGGCAGAGGTGCTCGTGGCCCTGCTGACAGCAAGCAAGAGAAACAGCATTCTCTGCATCCCTGCCCATGCAGGGAGACCTGCACTTGTGTGCCTTAAATGATGTTATGTTTCCATTTTCCCAATTTCTGAGGCAATCTACAGAGCAGCAGAGTTGGAGTGAGGGAGAGAAGTGTCAAGAGGGTGAGCGTGAGAGTATTGCAATAAAGAGGGATGAAATGAAGGATAAAGGAGATGGCCCGGTGTGATAGATTGGCTGTCCTATCGCTGATGATGGTTTTTCTACAAATCATCAGAGCTCCTGCCTTGAAGACGGATTGTCCAATTCGTCTTCGTGGGAGCAGCACCGAGGCTCGGTGGGAATGGGAGAGGCGGCCGGGAGCAGCCTCGCCTGCAGCTCGGCCCTGGCAGCACCCGTGGTGTTTGCCAAACGGTGCCAGCAAATCATTATCTTCTGCTACCATCTCTCTCGCATCTAATAAGCCCATCATTTGAGGGAAATTAATTATAGCAAGAACCGGGGCAATGCCAACAGCTAATCACATTAGTAACACCGCTAACGCACAGCGGTGTTTCTTTTTATGCTGGCTTGGAGCTGCAGCCTATTTACACAGCGCTGAAAACAGACTGGCTTGTACCTCAGCTAGTCCTATCTACGGCAATATTTCTTTGCCTTTTAAGACAATTTCTTGTTTTTCAGCGATATCTGTGAAGCAACAGATCTGAACTCTATTAACTCCATGCCTGACACGCTGTTTATAAAAGATTCTGAAGGCTCCATCCCTTCACATTGAGTGCTTCCTAGGAGAAATAAATACCCGCTATTTATTTATGAGCCGTATGTCATATAATTATTATAAAGAAAAATAATCAAGCAATAAAGAATAATCTAACACTGTGTATATTGTTCAAAGCAAGAGAACAGCAAGTGCTCAGATCTTGTACCAAAGGTTTTTTTTAAACATTCCTTTCCCTGTACAATCCAAAGACATCCTGCCCTATGGCCACAGTGGTACTGGACAACGTTACACAAAATACTAGGCAGCATACCATGGAATTACATATATATTTATTAACTTATGATTTATTTTTGTGGTGTTTTGTTTGTTTGTTTTACACAAATAAGGGAGTAAATAATAATCTTATAAATAAATATATTTGTGTATATAGATCATATTTAGGGGGAAGAGGCAGTTTGAACTCAGCAACGTATCATCATTCATGATAGCATGACACCATTGGAAATGTCTCAGTTATATATTTTATATTAATTGTTTTACTTTGTGTTTGACTAATTAAATCATTTACTACTTATACAGGCATGTACATGCACAGGACCATTCATATCACAGAGCTCAAAGGTGGGTTTAGCCCTGTAACCTCTTTTCCCAGAATCACAGAATGTTAGGGATTGGAAGGGACCTTGAAAGATCAACTAGTCTAATCCCCCCAGCTTTTTCAATACTAGTCAGCTGGAGAAGTATATAAAAACAGGGCAGGTACACACAGACACGTAGTTAGGAAACCCTCCAGTCTTCTGTGTTTTGCAGCACAAGGATATTAAAAGAAAAAGTGAAGTTACCTTGGACAAGCAGTGATTTAATGAAGAAATGCATCCAATGTTATGACAGTTCTGTAGTGTCCTTTTGTAGGATTTGTAGGATTTGTAGGATTGCAAATTAAGTAGTGGGTTCAGAGTCGCTGTGGCTCTTTCTAGAAGAAGAATAAAAGAAAAAATAAGAGTTTAATACGAGAATGAAGGAATTAGATTAACAAATTTTATTTTAGGTCAGGAAAAATAGTTGAAAATTTGACTTACATTATAGGGATAATTCATACAATAAGGATAAAATAAAACATATGATTATCTCACTCCATTCCTCTGCTCTTTGGCTGGGTTCTGGACTAACCTTAATCTAGTACTCACTTTGGGACAAACGCCATCAGCAGCTCCACAGCTCGCTCCAATTGTCTGCCAAAATTTCTTGCATAGCCTGCAATTACCAAGCTCGGGGTGAAGAAACCTGCTACAGAGTGACCCTTAAGCGTCCAGATCAAAACATGGTTATACCAAGCCAAAGCCATACCATGTCCCTTTCATCCAGAAATACTTTGTAAGATTCAAAGTACTTTTTCCAGTTCTAAAAGGTTTTGCTTCATCCATGTCCTGCCCCATTTCAAATGCATCCTTACCAACATGCTTTGCACTGGGCAGGGGATGCTGTAGTCATGGGAAATGTGCCAGTTGCAGCTTTCAAGTCCCTTAGTTTCTTCTGAATTCTATTTATTAACATTTTTTGAGAACAAAATACATTGTGTACAAAACCACAGAAGTTATCACCACCTTGTCCCCCAGCAACAACCGTGTTATTCCAGCACCTTGGGCATGAATCAAACCTCTTCTGCTCCAGGACTCTCCCGAGGTCATTGCTTCATGTCACAGGCATCCATTTCACCTTTCTTCATTTTTCCTTTGTTTCCTAGCTGCAATATGGCCCATTTGTGTTACTTTTTGCCTCTTTCATTTGTAGCTTGTTTGTTTAAAAATATTTATAGATAGATCTGCTACACACACATCATTTCCATATGACTACACATGGCTGTACCTCATGTATTATTTGTTGTGGGTTTTTTTTACCCCTTTTCCACTTCTTCTGCTTCCACTTCTTTTCTCTGCTTTCTTGCACTGGTGTTTCATTCCCTCTCAATTCTCTCATTTTTTTCAAAAACACTCTCCTCTTGAAGCTACAGTCCAAAAAAACAAGAAGGCAAGAGCAAAAAGACACTGCTCTGTGCAAAAACTGGAAGGGAGGAGGGGTGTC